CTGAAATTGTAAGGAAGAAGAATCCAACACTGGAGGTATGGAGCCTGCTGCAGTATGCCCAGTGTCAGTCAGAACTCGGGGACACAGGAAGGAAGCAAGTAGTTCTGAGTCACAACCTTGAGTGTTTAAAAGGAATCTGGCAAGCAATTGATGACTCAGATTGTAAAAGATGATGTGGAGCCTACAGCTAATTGGAGAGTGAGCAGAGACACCAATTACTTAGCTATAATCAAGGTTTGTTGAAACATAAGCCCAATGTCATCAGATAGTGTAAGTCAAAGGTTGACTTATTGAGCAGTTCTAGGTACTTTGTTTTGTTTAAGAGGTGGTACTTAAATCATGGTGGGTTCCTATCTGTAATCCAAGCAGACGGATCAGAAGTTCAACTACATAGCCATAACCCTGTCTAATTAAATAACAACAGCAACAATAGAACAAACCACTATCAACGAATCAAACAGAAACCCAGAAGAGGCCTTCCCGCCATGCTGCTGGCCCCAAGTTTCTGCCTCAGTAACTGTAAATATATGCAACTGTACATGGCTCAGATGGTTTTTCAGTTGGGAAAAACTAACATCATGAAGACTAAGCCAAACAGATCTGTTGAGATAAGTTGTGATCTTCTGCTTGCTGTATTTATTATAAGGAGCCCTGGTTTCACAAACTGGAGATAATGTAGGAGGAATCCCAAGTAGGTTAAAGAAAAATGTGTTAAAGAAAGAGATTTTACTTTTTTTGCTTGTTTGCAGTACTGGAGAGCAAACTTAGGGCTTTGAACACAACACTCACAATGAGCTGCATTCTCCACCCAGCAATCACTAGGAAGGCGCTGCTACAGACCTACTCTGGTAAGAAGATCCCTTCTAGTTTGAATTTGAGGTTTAACATCTATCAGCAGGCAAACATTTTAAAGTTTTGTAAGATAATTAAAAGGGCAGGGAAGTGGGGCTGGGAAAAGCTTCAGTTTTGAATTTAACCATAGCTTACAACTAAGACAACAAGGCTCTGACATGATCAGTGTTAATGTTTATTGAGCACTCAGGCATGTTAGAACTTAATATGTAATCATACATTGGGTTATTTCTTCAAGGATGTCTATCTTCATCACTGGAGATTTCAAAGGTAATAAAACAGAGCACAAGAATCAGAATCAAAATGCCTAACTCTTAACATTTAGAAATTATAAACAAAGTTTCAATATTTTTGTATTAATTATAATCACAAAAATCTTAGAAATTTGAAAAAAGCTAGCAAATAGAGGCATTTAACACTTTCTAAATCCCCCGTTCCTTAAAAAAGATCACAACTGAGTGTAACCATGATGCTTCAATTTTTGGAAATTATACGTAAACAAGGCAAGAGTATTTCCCTGGAGCTGCCAGTTTTAGTTTACCACTAATAAAGTTTTTCTCCAAAGTTTTCATGGTGGAAATTTGATGAAGGATATAAGCTAGGAATAACTAACATGGGATAAGTACTTACCTTTGTTTGACCTCAGAGCCAAAATAATCCTGTGTGTCTTGCTGGAAGGCAGCACAGGGTACCTTTGTAATTTTAGGGCACCAATTTGGAAAAAAATGGCAGGTCCAGTTGTAAGTTCATGCCCACTAAGGAGTAAAATACATGATCCTATCTCCTATTATTTACCTGTGCTGTACCAAAGTCAACTAATAGTTCTTTACAAATTTTAAACACAGGTCAGGAAAGGCGAGGTAAGCCTTTAACCATAATGCTCTTAGAGCCTGAATCAAGAGGGTCACAAGTGCAAGGCCAGTATTATTTTACACAGTTAACACCCTCTCTCAAAAAGAAAAAGATGACAGGAAGGAAGGAAGGAAGGAAGGGAGGGAGGAAAGAAGGAAAGAAGGAAGGAAGGAAGGAAGGAAAGAAGGGAGGGAGGGAGGGAGGGATTTGAGTAGAGAACAGTTGGAATTACAAAATAAAAGTTTAAGATATTTTGGTGATACATGTGTGTTTTGAGATTCTAAAATTTGTAGAAAGACAAGAATATGAAGAAAGATGACATGGTCTACTTTTCAACATAATGAGCAACATTCTAACAAAACAAAACAAAACAAATTGAAGTCATATATAATTGTTCTTTCATTTTGCTTTGTATTTAGAGACAGAAACTTCCTTCTATGTAGTTCAGGCTGGCTTTAAACTCAAAATATTCCTGCCTCTCTCTACCTACTAAAAACTGAGGTCTCAGACCCGTAGCATGATGCCTAGGTTCTTGACTTTATTTATTTGTTTGCATGTGGCCCCCCCCCCCCCCCCGGACAGGTTTCTCTGAGGCTTTGTTTCTCTGAGGCTTTGTAGGCTGTCCTGGAACTAGCTCTTGTACACCAGGCTGGTCTTGAACTCACAGAGATCCATGTGCCTGTGCCTCTCGAGTGCTGGAATTAAAGGTGTGCGCCACCACTGCCAAGCTATTTATTTATTTATTTTTAAATTTTATTTTTATTTTATGTTTTTTGGTGTTTTGCCTGCATGTATGTCTGTGTGAAGGAGTCAGATGCCCTGGAACTGAAGCCACAGACAGTTGTGGGCTGTCATATGGGTTTTGGGAATGAACTCAGGTCCTCTGGAAGAGCAGTCAGTGCTCTTAACCTCTGAGCTATCTCTCCAGCCCTACCTAGATTCTTTCAATATGTAAAGTGTACTTCTAATTTAGGTGAAGGAATGAACTAATATAATTTGAGGATCACACAGCTAAAGATCTTTCCAAATCAGGGCTCTCAAACATATTCTATATTAGTAGGCAGTATTCATGAGTTCTCTGTAAAAACAAACAAAACAAAAAACACAATTTAATGAATTATACATATATGTATATATATGCACAGAGGTTGGTATAAGTTGTCTTTATCACCTCCTACCTTATTTTTTGAGACATGATCCCTTATTTAATCTGCTAACTAGCTAGGCTGGTTGGAAATTGAAGGATAATCCAGCATGGAAATTATAGGTGCAGGCTGTCTGGTCTGCTTTGTACATGGGTGCTGGGGATGTGAATCCATTGTACCCGCCTAGCAATCTGCCAAGCCTCATGATAAAAATTGCAGAGGAGTATTATATGCCTATAGTGTATGTACATGTGGAGGCTCAAGGTGGATGGAGGGCATTTTCTTTAATCACTTCTCACCTGATATAATGAGGCAGGGGTCTCTACCTGAACTCTCACCATTTTGGTTAGTTTGGCTAGTCATCTTGCTCCTTGGAGCCCCTCTCCATGCTATTACAGCCACCTAAGTTTCACAAGGGTGTAAGAGATCCATCTAGTCCTCATGCTTTGCACAGCAAGTGCTTTAACGTCTGACCCATCTCTCCAGATCCCCAAATTATTTTTTTTAATTTATTTAACATTTATTTTATGTGCATTGATGTGAGGATGTACCCCTGGAACTGGAGTTACAGACAGTTGTGAGTTGCCATGTTGAGTGCTGGGAATTGAACCCGGGTCCTCTGGAAGAGCAGCCAGTGCCCTTAACTGCTGAGCCATCTCTCTGCCCTGTCCCCAAATTCACAATTTCATATTTTTATTTTGATCATCTAAAAATAATTGTAAGTAAACATTCTGGACCTAGATAGGCTCTTTATAAATGTTTATGATAACCACAGATGTAAAATGATTGTGATTTGTGCTAAGCAAGTATGAAATAATAACATCAAATATTGGATTGATTTCAACAGTTAACCTCACCAGTGATTGCAATTCTGGTCCAGGTTAGATTTTATTTTGAGGCGCTGTGCACTGTAGAATATTTAACAATATCTCTGAATCCCACTCAATTTGATCCCCCAAAGTATCACCTATTTAAGACAGCCTGAATTATATCCAGACAACAACTGCTTAGTGCCCCAAAGAGTTATTTCCAAGCTGATAACTCCTGTAATTGATAACAGTAGTAAAGAAAATCAGTCAATATAAGGTATGTAGGAGAATGAATGAGAATGTCAAAATCTAACAATTAAAGCTATAACAATTTCTATTACACTTAAGAGCTGTATCGCTGAGGTATTAATTTCAATATGAAATTTATTAGTTTGGCACTTTTCTTAAATATTTTGCATAGAGAGTCTTTCCCCTTATAAAGCAACTCTGAGAGCAGGAGAGATAGCCCAGCAATCCTAACACTGGGTGGGTATGTGTGGGGTAGACAGGAGGGTCACTACAAGCTCAAGACCAGTTTGGTCTACATAGGGAGTTCCTGAGCCATTTAGCAAGACTTTGCTTGTTTGAAAACAATATAACTGAAGGAACTAACTACCAAGAGCCTAAGAAGGTGGTTCTGGGTGTTGTAAGAAAACAAACTTGGTAAAGCCATGAGGAACAATGCCAATAAGCAGCACTCTTCCATGGCCTCTGTATCAGTTCCTGACTCCCAAGTTCCTGCCCTCATTTCCCTCAGTGATGAACTGTTGCCTAGAAAATAAGCTCTTCCCTCCCCCAAGTTACTTGTAATTATGGTATTTCCTCACAACAGAAACTCTAAGACAAGGAAGGGGAGGGTTGTTGTTGCTAAGATACAGCATATCTAGTTTATTTTTCTTCAGGATTTAGTCACTTTCCAAGGTACATGGAATAACAAAATGACTTACTGATAGGAAAAAATAACCATTAAAACTAACTCTTACATTCAGAGGTTCAGCAGTCCAAAGTTTAATATGTTAAGAAAAGGAGAGAAACTGTCATAAAGTTCTCCTAGTAGTCCTCAGCTAAATCACCATATTAAAAAAAAAATAAAAAATTAATCAAAGTCACAAGCATCATGTAAGGTTTAAGAAACTCACAATTTATTATTCTATTTAAAATGGTAATAGAGTGATATCTATGTTAGGATAGCTCCCATAAGGAAAAAAAAAAAAAAAAAATCTAGTTTATCAGTGGCCAGAAATAAGGACTGGCTGACACAAAATATCAGTCACACTCATAAACATGAATGGTTCTAACAATTAAAAATATTTTTCCTTGGTACCAAGTAGTTATTCCTTACCTGCTTATGTGCATGATCATAAGAGTTAATGTGGTTGTCAAATTCCTGATGTTTCTGGTACTGTTTATCACAGAGTTCACAGTAAAAGTTGGCTCTAAGATCTTCTAAGGCTTTTGCGATTGCCTTTTCTTTGTCAACATAATCCTGTTAAGGAAGAATAACAACATACAGAGGAGGAGAAGAAGAAAAAAATCAGTAGGATTTAGACAGCTATTATTCAAGTAGTGAGTAAAATAACTTTTCATAAAGTTAAATAAATGGCCCTGATAAATGCTAGATAAAACTCAAGGGGCAATTTGGTAGGTTAACAATTTGTATAAACACTAACAAATGTTCAAGAGGGTGTAATTGGATTTCCCTTTTGGCTATGCAGTAGACAAGACCATTCCCTATTTTGTCCTTGACCAAAAACCAACTAGATTCAATATAAGGTATAATTTAAGCAGTCACGGTGTTGGTATATGCTCATAATACACCTCAGGCTGATAAGACTGCCTTGAGTTCCAAGGTATTGCTAGTACATAGTGAGCACTAACCTGGCCAGGACTTAAGAGAGTTCAAATCCCCTGGAAATGGAGTTATGGACAGTTGTGAGTTGCCATTTAAGTCTTCTTTGAGAATAGCAGGTACTTTATTATGTCCATATTTTTTTACTTTTAAACCAGCAACTGGCATAGAGCATATACTAAACAGGATTACACAGCAAGAAGAGTGGGATCTATCCAAAGGACTCAAAATTTATACACACACACACACACACACACACAAAATCAGTCAGTGAAATATATCTATTAATAAAGGGGGGGCTACATGATCATTTTAATTGATTAAAATACAAACAAACACCTAGCAATGTCTAAACCGTCTTCCATGGTACGAACATCAACAAGCAGGGCAGAGGCTATCCATCAGCCCCCACCCTGCCTCCCCCTAGCCATCTGTGACTAACTCCTGCCCTAAGAAGGTTGGCAGGAGGAACATAAATTAAAGCCAGCCTAGACTACATGGAGTCAGGCAAGCTTGAGCTACATTAGTGGGACTCTGTCATTCCCCATCCTCCGTCTCCCCTCAAAAGCAGAAAAAAGAAAAACTTAGCTAATATCACTATGGTGAAAGATTTAAAGTTCCCTCTTTGAACTAGAAACAAACCAGAAATATTTACTCTTGTCTTTTTTCTGGGGATGGGGTGGGGGGGGGATAGGGTCTTATACAGTCTATGCTGATCTCAAACTTACTACACAGCCAGGGATGACCTTGAACTGCTTGTCTTGCCCCCACATTTCCCAGTGCTAGGATTACAGGCACACACCAATATGCCCAGTTTATATAGTGCTGGAGATCAAACTCAGGGCTTCACATGTAGGGTGGGCAAACAATCTACCAATTGAACCGCATTTTCAGTTCCACTGTAAGCACTTCTAATAGCTTTAGAGAAGATACCATTGTTTTGTTTTGCTTTGGAGACAGGGTCTTCCTATAAAGCCTTCACTGGACAGAAACTTACTCTTAGGATGCCAGAGGTCCACCTGCTACTGCCTTCCAAATGTTGGGATGAAAACAGTGAGCCCCTGTGGGTGGTGGCACATGACTTTAATCCCACCACTTGGGAGACAGAGGCCACCCTGGTCTATGGATCAAGTTCCAGGACATCCAGGACTGTTACACAGAGAAACCCTATCTTGAAAAAGAAGATAAATTTAATTATGCCCGAAGTTGTCATGAAGGGACTCACAAAGGCTTAGAGGATACTCAGTGGTACAGTGGTTATCTGACATCCTAGACACTGCCAGAGAAGCAGTGGGGATTGGAGTCTCTTATCTGTATGAATAGATGAGACACCTGCATCCCTCTCCTTAAGGGGTTGGGAATATTGTACTAAGTACAAATGTGGAAAACCTTAAGTCTTCCCGCTGAGTACTGATAGGAGATGTTATTTTGTAAATATGTTAGAAATAATTTATTTTGGAATGGATTTTTATTTATTGATACAAATTTAAGGTCAATTTTGTGATAAGTATATTTCGCCTCCTGTTTAGATATTGTGTTTATATAGCTCATTTAAAAATGTATAATTTGGTGCAGATTATAGATAGTTGCCTATAATAGTCAAAACTTATACTTAGTTAGGATTTCTACATATAGATATATTTAAGATGGATAAATATTCTTCAGACCTTTCAAAAACCTACAGAATATGGCATTTAAAATGGTTTAGGGTTTTTCTTGACAGTGAAGTACAACTGCTCCTGGCAACACCACCTGCATCAGAAAGGAAGATGGACAATAAAGAAACTTGTTATGGAGTTACTCTCAATATGGCAAGGCTAGTCATTTGGGCAAGATACTGCTCTTGTCTGGACTGTTTGACTTTATGCTGCATAAACTGGACATGCAGGACCCAGAGAAAAGTGACTGCTAAAACAAGATGGATATTGCTGTAGGGTTCCTGTTTCATGGAAGAGACTTCCAGACATTCTACGGGACACAGAGAAAAGTGACTGACAAACTGCCAATACAGGTGGACAGTTTGAAATTTTCTGCTTTGCTGAGGAGTCTGCCAGACACACTATGACCAATGGGCCCCAAGTTGTCTCTGTCAATTCTAGAGTTTATATATTATCCTTCTGTGGTCTTTGGTGGAGATGAAGACAGATAGTTATGGTTATAGTTTTCCTTAGTTAGGATTAAAGATAAGTTACATATAAGACTTTAGAATTACAAAGATAGATAGATGATAAAATATTTTTTTAAATTCTTGATAATGTTAATGTACTAAATATTATTAACTATAGTTCTTGCTTAATAACTGTCTTGTTAATGTAATTTTACTATGTTAAAGTAAAACCCTTTTTATTTTAAACAGAAGAGATGATGGGAGACGTCATTCTGTAAATATGTTTCTCTTAATGGTTAATGAATAAAGCATTGTTGGCAAAAAAGAAGACAAGAAAGGCAGGACTAGGAGACAAGGAAGATTCTGGAAGATGTAGTGGAGTCAAGATGTAGGGACTTGAGAAAATAAGTCTGGACCCTCTCTCTGGTAAGATTAAGACCATGTGGAAACACTTAGATTAATAGAAATGGGTTAATATTTAAGATAGAGCTAGTCAATAAGAAATGCTAGTAACTGGCCAGCAGCTTTATATGTAATACAGCATCTCTGTGTGTTATTTGGGGCTGATGCAGCTGTAGAACCAGGCTGGCGGGAAAACTGTGTAACAGAGCAAATAAAAAGAAATCTGTACCTAGACACATCATGTCCTGAAACAACCACCATCATCACAAAATAAATAAATACATAAATAAAAGTGAACCTAGATGGCACTCAAATCCCAAAACAGCAGCAAGCATTTTCAAATTTTCCGTTGTTTCAAAAATATTTCATTTTTTTTTATTTCATATGTATGAATGCTTGTTTGAATGTGTCAAGGTACCACATGAAGTGTCTGTGGAGGACAAAGGTGAGCACTAGATCTCCTAGGGCTAGAGTTATAGATGTTTGTGAGTTGCCATGTGGGTGCCGGGGATTGAACCAAGGTCCTCTGGAAGAACAGTAAGTGCTCTTTCAGTGTTCATAAGCATTAAGCTATCTCTCAATACTTATAAAATTTTTTTTAAGTATTTGTGTATATGTGGAGCATGTTTAAGTATGTTGATGGCAAGGAGGTGAAAAACAACCTCGAGTGTCTATTCTTACCTTCTACCTTGTTTGGGGTAGGCCTCTCTATCACTGTATGTACCAGGGTACATGGTCCACAAGCTCCCAGGGATCTTGTCACTCCTATTTTCCCACGGAACACTGAGATCACATGTACGTACTGCCACATCTGGTATTTTATAACATGAACTCAAGTCATTGAAGATTTTTTTAGAAAGTGCTTTACACACCGAACCATCTCCTAAGCAGCTATTTTGTCTTTTCTTTTCTGAGACAATCTCATTGTGTGATCCTAGGTATTGTCCTCCTAAGTGCTTGTGATTACAAGTGTGTGCTGTCATGTCTAGTAGTCTTAAATGCTAGGAAGACAGGTGGGTGCCACTATGACTGAATATTCTGTATCTCAGGAGTCCTTATAGGTATGCTATCACCTCAATCTTCGGGTTTTTTTTTTCCTCTCCATCTTTTAAGTCTGTAATGATAGTTATCTAATTTTACTCAACTGTTATCTGTCTTAACAATGAAAGAAAATAATAATCTTTGGTTTCCAAGACTGACCAAAATTCTTATGGACTCTGACTAGTGTATCACCCCTTTCTCTCTCCCATTCTAATGGAAAGTCTAAATATCTGGGCTAAATTTATAAGCGCTTCAAAGTAGTGAGCCCTTACTTCCCCTTTAAATGGCAGAATGCATTTGACCCCCTCCCCCATTTTTCACCTTAAGTATCGCAGCGAAAACACAACAGTGACTTTGTTTAAGGTACCTTGTACTTTTGTCTCAGTTCTTCTGTGTCTTCTTTTTCTACTTCTAGGACACGCCGCCGCTCGGTAGCATCTTCGGCATAATCCAGCTTGACAGAAATAGGTATAGTTATTCTTACTTCCTAAAGTACCCCAGAGTTAGCTAGAGAATGTCATTTACACAAGTGTAATGCTGTTTGAAAGCAAGAAGCTTGTGTTTCTCTCAGGAAGCTCTTGCTTCACAGAAAACAGCAAGTCAAGTAAGTTCCTTACTCTCTCTCCTGACAGTCCTAATAGACCCAACTGTTGATAACAAGAGTTCAGTTCAATATTCACTACCATATTTCAGACAGTAAAAAGAAGGTATGGCACATAATAGCTGTACACAACTCTACATGGGCAGAGCTTCTACCACACCAGTGTTTTAAGTACAGAGCAACACTGTCCATTAAAACAAGTACCACAGCCTCACCTGGTCTTTCTGTACAATACTGGGAAGATGCAATGCTTACACCCGTTAAGACAGGAGCAGTGTTTACATCTTCTGTGCTTCAAAAATAACCAAAAATGAAAACATAAAATATATTTTCTAGTTGACCAAAGAAAAATTAAAACCATGTTCATCTGATAAATATATGCTTACACTGATATCTGAGTTTGATGTTAATGCTGATTTTATATATCCCATAACACTAATGCTGTTTAATGAGACTAATTTACCTCCATTTCCATGCGACCCATTCCCATGACATCATACTTGACAACGATTGGAATAGGGTCTGTTCTCCCTGTAACAGGAACACAGAGTCAAGTTGAGACATAAATTAGACTTACAGTTCACTTTAAACATTAGGTTTGAGTGGTTAGATCTTGCCTTGGAGTGCAGAGACCAGAAAGCTACAGTGAACCAAACAAAAGCCATTCTCACAGCTTACATCCAACCCTTCCTTTCCTGAATTAAACCCAACAACCCACTTTGGTTAACCACCTTGCTGGAGAGAACTCTAGGTAACTGTGGTAAAGGTAAGTGAATAAATGGGAAACATCAATAGCACCAGAAGTCTTACAACTAAAAACTTTAGAAGTTCTTTTTTGTTTGTTTTTATAAGACAGGGTCTCATGTAGTCCAGGTTGGCCTCCTTAAACTCACTATGAAGGCGAGGATGACTTTGAAGTTCCCAAATGCTGGGATTACAGGCATTGAGTCACCATGCCGGCAGAAGTTTTTAAAGGATCCCAAGCAGCTTCCCATCAGCAATCACCACAACTTTGTTCTGAAATCTCTTTGTCACCCCTTAAAACTGGTGATGAATATCTTAAATGCTTAAATAGGACAAAAAAAAAAAAAAAAAAAAAAAAGGTGTGCATTTCAAACAGAGAAAACTGATACAATTATTATTCAATATGTATAAAATTTTTGTTTTTCAAAAGACACTTTCCAATCAAATTAAACACTTAAATAAAAAAAAAAACAGCAGCTCCTTGCCCTTAAGGACAAGATTGGTTTCATTTTAAAACTGGTGCCTGAGATCTCATTTCCTAGAATGAATTTACCACTGTCTGTGGATGGTAACTGGTAAGCTGTGAAAAGGACTACTTGTGAAGAAAATTGACTTTCAACTAATTGATCTATGCTGGAGATTTAAAAAAAATAAATATATATTTAATCCACTCATAACCAGCCAAACAAAGCAAATGGGGCAGACAAGCACTTTACTACCACAGCTGTTTTACATCACAACTTGCGCGGTTCATTGTGATGTAACTGAAATTTCAGGACTTACCTTACCCAGGGTACACCTTCAGTGAAAAAACACAATGTTTACTTCCCTCATCATTTCACTCAGGCTGGTGTAAACAATTGTTTTTTGTTTTGTTTTTGTTGTTGTTATACACACACACAGATATATTATACCTTTGGGCAAGAAATTTGAGTTTTGTCAGGCTAAATCTTATGTATTATCAAAGAAAAATTTTCAAAGAATTGGTTTGTTTGATCCTGAAGAAAAAAAAAAGAAAATCGCCAGCAACATTTGTGCCTGGTCACTATATATTTATGGCATTAGTATTTTTGCATCTTTAAATCATACTGAAAAACAAACCTAGAAATTTAACTACTTGTCAACAATATTCCATTATTGACACTTGAAAGTTTAACTGATTATCAACAAGGTCCCATTATTGTTTTTAAACAATAAATAGGTTGAAAACAAGCAATTATTATCATAGTTAAAAACTAAACAAAAAACCCTACCCACATAATAATGGAAATCTTCTGCCAGGAAAACACAAACCTTACAGAACACAGTGTTCTACTAGAGATTTCTGAGACTGCCAGTCAAACAAGACGCAAACGTAGCATTCCCTTCTGCCCAATGGTATAATAAATAAGCAGTGACTGCAATCTTTAGCAAAAGGACCAAGGTAAAGACAGGTTATAAAAATGACTTCCTAGGTGCAATATCACTTTCATAACGTCTCAATCAGGGATTTACTGGTAAAAACAAATAGTCCAATGAAACAATTGAAAAGAAACATCAAAGAAATTTATTTTAGAAAAGTTTTTGACTGGTCAGAATTTATTTTGGAAGAATCAACAAAGTTTTGGTACAGATTGATTACCTCTGTAAACCCCTGTTTATAAATTCTGTATTAGTACTTTTGCCTTCTAAGGCAGTCAAAGTTTGTTTTAACTTATTTATAAATTGCAGTAGCAAGTGCTAGTGCCCATTACACTGGGGGTGGGAAAATCAGGTTTTGACAGTATTAGAATTTAATATTCTGATTCTTTTCGACAGTTCTAACATAGATACATCCCTTCTTAACATTACCCTTTAATAAACAAGGATCAGACAAGTTGCATAAGGAAAGGAAAGGAAAATGAAAAGACCAAGCAGAAGGATGAGGCTACAACAGAGAGAGTAAGCCTAACATATTGGTGCACTGATGACAAAAGGAGTAATTCAGTCTGAAAATAAAAAATTACCACTAAGTTTACCATCACCACAACAAGTCCAGGGTCATAACGCTGTAAAAAAGAAACACCGTTTGTTAGGCAGAGACCATTAGGGTAGAAAACAGGCCTTCTAGCAGGCAGACAGGATGGGGGTAAAGTACTAAGCGGGCTTTGTCCCTCCCCCGATTTTAGTGAGGACAGAGAAAGGACATTTTGTGCTACAGCAGCTGTTTCTGTACTGGTCAGGATGGGGTGTGAGATTTTTGTACTGCTACTTGAGAACACGAACAATCTCTTCATTAAAGCAGGGGTGGGGGATGGGATAATGAGTCAGTTTATTTAAAGGGAGAAAACTAACTCTAGCTTCCAATCTTTCTTTTAACTTATCCATTCTGGAAAATTAGTATTCAGGCTCAAGATGGAATTCTTAAATAAATCACAGTAAAGATGGGATGGGATCAACCAGACACTGACCATGTAATTTTTTTTCCACAATAAGGAGCCTGGCTGACATGGTTACAAGACCACTTTAAAACAGTCTTAAGAAACAACTGTAGATCTTCAGTGTTTAAAGAACTAAGTTCTGTTAAGAGTAAGTAAAACTCTAAGTGGCTCTGCTCAGATATTTCCTTCCTTTTAAAAGACTTCATCACCAACATCTATCTATCTATCCTTCTGCACATAACTAAACCAACCTTTGAAAAGAATTCCAGGAAAATACAAAAAGCCTCAAAAGAAAAGAACCATCATTTATAATATCTCCAGAGTTAACTCACAGAAATGATCCAAATTACAAAACAATCTGAAGATGAAATCACTTCTTGCCTGAAACTGTAATTTCTTAATAGTATGTATTAAAGTGACTACAGAATCAAGGAAAAAAAATCACAGTGGGAAAGGACACCAAAGAATATATACAAGAAGATGCTATACCATGTTTTTAAAAAATCCCTTTACTCATTCATTTCCAATCAATGACTGATTCTACCATAAAGAATATCACCTAGAAGGGCTGAAGAAATGGCTCAGCAGTTGAGAGCATTAGCTGCTCTTCCAGAGGAGCTGGTTCAAGTCCCAGCACCCAAGTGACAGCTGTGTCTACAACCTGTCTATAACTCCAGTTACAGGGGATCTGAGTCCCTCACTCAGATACATATGCAAAACACCAATGCACATAAAATAAAAATAAATCATAAAAAAAGAGTAACTTAGAATAACCAAGTAACATTTTGTAATGATCAAATGTTTTAGGGGCAAGCAGCAGTAGCAAAAGTATGTATATTCCCTTGAAGAGCCAACTTTTTTTTTTTTTTTTAAACTGAACTGAATTCACTTCCTTATTTTCAAAGTATAGAAATTTTTTAATTTAATTTCTAGTGAACTATTAAGGATGTTTCTGTTGTGTCTTTCACTAGGCCCAACTTTAAAAAGATGACCTGTGGACAGTTAGTTGGCTCAGTGGGTAAGGCATTTGCTCTGCAAGCTGGTGACTTGAGTCCTGGGATTTACCTTAAAGGAAGAAGGAGAGAGAATCTAGTTCACATCCACAGCCCTGCCTGCTGAGGGAGCTTACTAGCCAATGATGTTTTGCTAGTAAACGGGAATTTGTTTATTTTTTCTACTTATTGTTTTGTTTTTATATTGGTATTCCATGAACTCTAAAATGCTCTGTCACTAAGCTCCAACTCTAATGATCTATGTTTTTCTTTATTTTTATTGTATATATATATGTTCATACATATGTTTATGCATGACTGTATCTTGCATATGTTCAAACTGGCATGTTCAACCTCAGGTGTCTTCTCTGGTTTTTCACATTATTTTTTGAGACAAAGTCTCTCAGTGAACCCAGAGTTCTTGGCCTCAGCCTCAGGGATCCTCCTGTCTCCACTCTCCATGTTTATAGACATGGACTGGAATCCAAAACTTAGGTCTACATGCTTGACATATAAGCAGCACTTTACTGATTATTCATCTCTGTAGCCACCCTTATGTGAATATTTTTTTCATCAAAGAACTCCAAAAGAGCCAGGCATGGTGATACACACCAGGAATTAGCAGCATTTGGGAGGCTGTGGGATGAGAACTACAGCAATCCTGAGGCCTGGGTTACACTGTGAGTTCTAGGTCAGTCAGAGCTAGAGAGTGAGACCCAGTCTTAAAAACAAAAGCAATGAGAATCACCACTAACTACCACCACAACAAGAATGTGCTTACAAAATGACAACCTTGAACTCTATGGATCAGAACTATAGTTCTATATAATTAATTTAGTGTTGATTGAGCAAGAGACATTATTGCTAATGATCCAAAATAAAGGCATTAGAAATATTTAACAGTCTGTATGCATCACTTCAATTACTTTTTGGCTTTTCAAGACAGGGTTTCTTTGTGTAGTCCTGGCTATACTGGAACTCACAGAGATCTGCCTGCCTCTGCCTCCCGGGTGCTGGGTTTAAAGGCATATACCACCACTGTCCAGCATTACTTCAATTCTAAGTCTGAAGGCAGAAAATATTTGGGGTGTTATATAGCTGGTACAGCAGTAATGGTATAAAAATCTTGACAACCAAATGGCTTCTTGCAGTTGTATCTCCTACAGCTAGTTGTGTAAGTGTTCCATAACTACAATGAAAAGTTCTTAGTGTTGCAGAATCACTCTAAAACCCCAAAAGACTTTCTAATTTCATGTAAACCACTTTCTTTTATTTTTCACTATTATCTTCCCCAATACACACACTTTCATGAATTCTTTAGTATAGTTTTTTTTAGTATCATCCCCCTAAAAGGATAGGCTATAAAAATCTCAGTTCTCCAAGAGGAGACAACAAA